TATATATATATATATATATATATATATATATTATCAGCGGGTTGCTTTCTTTTTGAATTTTTTGTTGTTGAATTGGTTATCCTGAAATTATGGTGATTTTATGTTATTTCAAAGCAAAAAATGTGTCTTGAAATAACAATGAAATTGCAATGCATTTAGAAACTGCGTTTCTAATATTTTTTGATATTTGAAGAATTTTCATCAATTTTAAATAAATGGAGTAGAATTCGCGTAATCTAATTTCTTTCTTGGACTTAAACGTTCCATCATTTGTTCTTTTCGATTTGTTTTATGTGGTGTTTAATATGATTTAGCTTGATCACCATTCATTTTTACTTAATTTTAGCTTTTTAGATATGAAGTAGACTTTCAAAGCCACGCTGTGAAACGTGGAAGGAGAAAGAATCCAAAACAAAGGTATTGTGGGCGCTATAGTTTTTCGAGGACCCATTTCGGTGAATTTTCAATGTTCACTTTAATCTAAGCCTTTCTTTAGACACCTGAATATAATTTTCTCGCGAAGTAATTGACTTTAATTATGACAAATTTTGCTTATTTTTAGGAGAAATATTACGCGATGAAAACATACAGGATCGTATTAGAATACGAAGTACTTCAATTCGCGGTCAAGCAGAGCGAGTATCGCGTCTTGAAAGTTGTTCGATGGTAGATATATTTGCTTTATGTGTCATTTTTTCCATTATTTTTGCGTCATTTTTAGTATCTTGTAAAGACATGACAGTTGTTTCTAACACTTAGTAAGATCTATATTTCTGTTGCATTTTGTAATATTTTAAAAAAGTGGTAACATTTTAATCCATACATTTTGACAAAAAATTGACTTAGGCATTCACAGTTCAAGCAAATATTTTTTGGCTAAAATAAATTGTAAACATTTTTGTGAAAGTATTCTCATCTGCGTTGTTTTCAAAATTGATTTTCAAATACCTCCGCAGTTATCAAAATGCTGGATCCAAGTTTCATAGGTCTCTTTGTAGTTCAAATTTTTAGTTATTTTAAATTCTATTACTAACTGGAATGAATATTGGTATGCCGTGAAATTTAAATTTTGGTATTTAGTAGATGTTTACAACATAAACATCTAGATATTTTCAAAAAATTGTAATCGGTAAGTTTTAGGGTTGATGATGGGCTTCAGAAAAGCTTCAAATTATTTTTAATGAATAAAAATAACTGAATCTAAGAAGAATTTTTATTCAGTATGATGCAGTTTATCAGTGTCTATCACCTGAACCAGACCAGCAACTCCATGATGTTGCAGTCCAACCATCAGCACCAATATCAGCCGTCATGATGCGTCGTGAGCTCGCTAGATTATCGTGTGATCGGAATCAGTATCATTACAGCTTATATCGATTACTGCGCGCAAGTATTATGGCAAAATTAAATCGTTTATATGAAAATACAACGTTGGGAAGTGTTCGCAAATCATCACAAAAGGTTTTTATATCTTCGTATTACTTCATTCGTGAAAAAGAATTATGATTAGTCAGCAGTGCTTATCTTGATCAAGTAAATTGTTAATAATTTAATATCTTCACTAACTTAATTAGCAGTTGCTAATTATTAAGAAGATTGAGTCGAAATTACTACTTCTTGGGAAGTGAGTAAGGAAAGTTATCGAAGAAAGATTGAGAGAAATCTTCATTTTCCTTATGTTCAGTGAACTTTAATATCCATAATCACATTTCATTAAAATGTCTTTACCATAATTCTGTTGAAGTCAAATAATTATTAGTTCTATTTAAGGTACTGTTAATAAATCACAGGAATGAACGTTTCAAGTGGAGTGATGTGCTGTGGTTGCAACTTCAGGCTGCAGTTGCAGGCAGGTTGGTACATTATTTAGAAGGGCTTATTTATTGCATTTGTTTTTTATTAGTATACATTAGTAGTAAATGAATAATGAGCGATATTTCAGACAAATGAAATCACCGAGGGATCAGATTAGATCAACTCGTGAACATGATAAGTATTTATTAGTTGAGCGTGAAAAACAAAAAGCAGTTCTAGATGAGATTCGTAATTTTCGTTTGAATAATAAAATTAAAGCTCGGCTTCCATCTCAACCACCATCTGCAGACAGTTACGATCAGAATTCGTTAAAGGCAGGACTAAAATTAGTCAGAAATTTGTTAGAACGGTATGAAAGTTTCGTTGCATTATTTCCCAATATAATCAGTATGGAACGGTCGACTAAATTGGATGAATCTATTAAAACTCGAATTCGAATTCTTTATGCGTGGTACAATATCACGCTTGATTTGTATTCCAGAATAAAAGAGGTTCATTTGCACGTATCCGTTTCTCATGGTAATGAAAAAATGTCAATTTTTGCACTATCAGACATTTACATTTTACATATATTTTATATATCTTTCACATAATTCTCAAAAACTGTTTATGCTGTCTCTGTATTCTAAAAGGTATTAAAGTTATTTCAAAGTTTTCTGAACAATTTAAAAAAACAAAATTACAGGTTGGTGTGATTTTGGGTATTTATAAAAACAAGGAATCTGCTAGGTGCTCATCCCCTTCTCCAAATCTAGTGATAAAGGATACTCCTACTGCTACTCAGCCAGTTGGGGTTTTGTCTTGGCCATCATTAGATAGCCCTATGGATGATTATGAAAGTTTGAAACCTTCACAAAAAGTATGCTCTATTTATTTTCGTATAAATTTGACTGTTTAGAGATAAAGATACGATCAGACATTGTTAACTAAACTATCTCATTTTTGATGTGATTTGTAGAACAATTCGTTATAGAATTAGTTCTCAGCTTTTACAGTCATATTTTTGCAGTATTGTTTATCATTCTTGTTCACTTCACTCGAGGGATTCCGAATGCGTTTAGATTTTCATAATTATGACAGCAATTAAAATAGTCTTCGGTATTTAGTCTTTGAATTTCTATTAAGTCTTGTGAGCTCACTCATGCTTCAAGTTCACCACAAAGTTTGTTGCTACAAATGACTATGCAAACAACATCAGATTTACCTGCATTACTGGAACAGCCCAACAGTATATATACGGCATTTGTTTGTGAGTCAATAAACTTTTGCTTCGAGGCTGAAATTTTTTTGATAGTAAAGATGGTCATTCTAGTAATTGCAATAATGTTTAAGTTCAGATTTGCTGATTTCTCTATATTTTAGCTCGTAGTTTACGGCGTAAGGGTATGCGAAAAGTTTTACAACGTTTGGACAGTGTTTGCTTATTAACTATAAAGAAGGTTATCGCCATGGTAAAGAAATCTTCAGTTGCTCATGCTCAGGTTGTTGGAGATGAAAGCAAGGAGCGATCTATAGATTATATTACGGTTTGTACATTACTACCATTGAATATTTAACTTCTCTCTGCTTTTCCTTCCGTATTCATGTATTTTAATCTCTATTGTTTTTCAGGCGTTAACTCCCGAATGTTATATCAGTGAATGCTTAAAGTTTGACGATGTAAGTTCTAAACATGTACAATCGATAAGCTGGCAGTATAGTTTGCTTAGTTTAGAAATAAATATTAATTCATACATTTTCATTCATATGTAATAAATATCGGATTTAATGATTTTTTCAGCTGATATTTACTACTTTATAGGAATAAAAAATAAAGCGGCATGTTTTTTTGGGGCAGTTTATTCTTCTTAAAAATAGCAGAAGGCTAGAATTTTGAAAGTTATATTATTTTAGAAGCAAATAAGCGATTTACCACATGGGTTAACAAGTCATGAGCAATTTTCGGCGATGGGATTGCCATCATTCGAAAATTTATTTTTATTTTTGACGCGAGTACCACTTGATCTTGTTCATGAATGGTTAAAAATGCGTGGTTCTGCACAACTGCCTTCTGATTTGTTGACATTGCAAACGGTACTTAATTAGTTTTGCAGTAAATATTGTTTCAGTTTTTGTTTTCTGTAAAATTTAGCTAAAATTAAATGAACCAAAGGCCGTATAATAGTATGGAACTATTCATTTTCATCATCATTGTCATAGGGCTATTACTCTAAATTTTAACTTATAAATATAGTTCTTAGAAAATACAAATGTCCTTTTCTATGCCGTTGCGATTATTAGATGTTTGGTCACGTATGAAAAACTTAATTTAACGATATTTTTTCCTTTCTTTTTTTAATTTTCATTATAGATACTAATGGATTGATAATGCTTGGAGTACCCATTCCAGCATCCATCCT